TTGTTTGTGCACAGCTTCGGGGTTTGGAATGACCCGATTCTACCTCAGTTGCAAACGGTGTACCGTAAAAGTTCTGTTAGTGCTTTACAACATATCACACAAATGAATGGCAGACATTATTTACCGGAACTATGTCAGTATTGTCACGTTATCACCTGATTAATTATATATCAGAGGCTGGTCGTTCAAGACTACTAGCATTTGTCAGCAAAGCCAATTAAAAAAAAACTTCGTAGGATAAGGATCCAAAATGATAATAAAATATATCATTGTTAAACCGATCATTACATTAAAATTAGAATACAAATTTTGAGTCAGAATTATCCCCTGAAAGCTAGTATTCGATATTCAGGTCACAATATTACTAAAACTTAACAAATAATTGTGAAAAGCCGGAAATAAAGTTTATCGCCCAAGAAGACACAATGAAATTCACCATTCATTACCGAGAAACTGCCGAGAAATGTCGAATGTCTAGGTTGCTGTATCTAACTGATTGTAAATCCACATCCGTCGTGTGTCAGACAGCATGAATTAAAACTAAAGCTTCCCTGTGCATTTATATTTCAGTTATTTTGGTCATTGCCTCAGATATGTTCAAATTCGACACAGCGATAAATTTAACAATAACGGATAACAAAATCAAACATAAACTGAAATTACTTGTGGGGGTTGTCATGCATGGTTATATTCATTCGGCAACTCTCGACAGTTTCCGTAAAGCTTAATTTAACTCGGATATGAATGTAACGAATCACTGTGTCTCCTGTGTCTTCTATCATTACTTTGACGTTCACCACTAGTCTGTCACTTCATCGAAATACTGCCATTGTTTTAGAACCATTGAGTGATAATTCTGCCACTTACTTATTAACTCAATACAATTTTAAAATATAGAAATATAAAGTTAATTCTAGATTGTTTCCATGGGTTAAGTAAAAAATGCATTGTATTATACGCACGCATTCTCATGTCGTCCATCGGTCCACATTTGGTTTGTGAACGCGACAGAGGCAACAAGTTCGGAATTTCGAGATGGTCACCAATATGCCTATGCATACACAATTTCACCAATATCGAATAAAACTGTCTGACGTTACAAGTCATTTTTATTATTAGGTCAGGGGCAATAACTAGAAAATCTTTTAACCAATTATTGCAAAATTCGAGCTTATGCGAGATCTCATCAATAAACACTGATGCACTCGAAGTTTCATCAAACCCGGATAAGATAAGTTAGCTTGTCTACAATTCAAATTTGACGCCATTTAACTCAAAAGCAACAATTCAAAAACTTCTATCTTGTCCTCCAGAACAGGGGTGGTGACGTTATATGCCAACATTAACATATATGGGGATACAAAAAATAAATAAATATATTTTGTGGCCCCTGCTTGGCCCCTTCACTTGGTGTTTCCTAGAATCGTCACCGTTTTATATATACTTAAGATTATTTAAAATCCCCTCCCAAGTGATTTAAAGTAGAACAACAATTCTTTACAATGAGACTGAAACTTTCTTAGCTTTTATTCTAATTCCCCTACGTTTTGTCTTCGTTTGTAAATTGACATCATGATCAAGGCCATTGATCGTCATATAGTATCTGATATGTGAACTACATCCTGATTCCTTACAGCCGAGGGTGGCCCTAATTAGAAATAGATTTAGAATAATTAGTAAATTGAATAATAAATAATTGTTGAGAGAAAAATGAGTGATGGTTTTAATCAGGTTATTCAATTCAATTGGATGTTGTAATAATATATATTATAAACTAGTGTATAAATACAGTCAGTATTGAAGGTAAAAATATCACAAATCTTCTGTTCTTCAAACTATCAACATCACAACCAGCCGACACTAGTAAGTTGATATAATAATTTTAATGAATACATTTTGGTATTTGGCTGCGCAAACTGATTCTAGTTGTGTCAATGCAGATTTGTTTGTAGTTCAAACGTGTTATCGGGCTTTATATCATGTATTTGGTTCAAATTGTAGATAATGATTTTATTCTTTTTCATTTTCAGAATTCAAGATGAACACCCTCTTTACCATCGCCTTATGTTTGACCTTCGCCGCTACCACCCTTGCTTTTAATCCAATGATGGGCGGTATGGGTATGATGGGTGGTATGGGTATGATGGGAGGTATGGGTATGATGGACCCCTACATGATGGGCATGGGAGGACTTGGTATGATGGGAGGTATGGGAGGACTTGGTATGATGGGAGGTATGGGAGGTATGGGTATGATGGGTGGTATGTACAACCCAATGATGATGGGTTATGGTGGACTCGGTATGCTCGGTGGAATGGGCGGATACGGTATGATGGGCGGTATGCTCGGTGGAATGGGCGGATACGGTATGATGGGCAAATAAGGTAAATACTGCTATGATATAACTCAAATGTGATCAATTGAAACAATCAACACGAGTCTATATACGATTTGTTTTGTAAATAAAATCACACACGTTACGCACGAATATACGGGCAACCTCTCATTCTTCATACTAAGTTATTTGGATAAAGAGAACATTGACTTATCTGATTATCATCAAGGGGTGTGGTTTAATCGATGGTAACCTTACCATCGATATATTTATTTTTTATTTCAGATAACAGTGCTCTATTTAAGAACGATGTAATATTTGTTACATACATACATGTATTAAATTTATATTTTTTACAATTATTTGTGTTTTACATTCAAACCTTTAAATGCGGCCAATTGTCGCCCCTCTCCTTCCAACCACATTTCTTGTAGATTAGATGGATTTATTGCCCTTGACTTATTAAAGGCCATGGCTTGCCATTTTCGGGATTTGACTTGGATGTAAATATTCTCCAGAACTACTTAAAAGACACAAAAAACTCATAATGCCATCCAACCAATTTCACACATATGACGGAGTCTCAAGAAAAGACGTGGATATTTCTGGACACACACTGATTTGAAGGCTTAAATTTGGATAATGAGCTAAAAATACCGTTTCTGAGACTTTAAAAATGAACCAAATTGGTAATCTCGCTAGAAGCTTCACATTTTATCCGAATCTTGTGAATCTTGGTCTAAATGGGTACTTTATGATATCTGAGAAGTTCGAAATTGGCAATAATTCGATGAACAGATCCTGAGTTAGAATAAAATGGTGTAGTTTTTGGCTTGAAGACGCAATAGAAGTTAATATCCGATCTTGATGGAAATTGGTATTTTTGTAGCTAAGCCAATCAGCTCACCGTCGAAATTTGAGCCTTCAATTCCATGCGTGTCTAGAATTATCTGCGTTTAACAGGACGAGTTAACATGACGACTCGTCATTTTAAGATACTCTGTGATATATAGAAAAGACATATATAAAAAATACTGGGTAAAATTCCTAGTTTCTAGTACTTCTGAAGACTATTTACATATATTCAAGACTAAAACAAACCCACTAAAATGGCACAACTGTCCTTTTAATGACAGTAATTTTTTGTCGGTATTGGGTCCAGGCCATCACGTGGTCGAGTGAAGGAGAATTTAAATCATCTCATTTGTCACCTCATGTGACAGATCGGCAATCATGTTGATGCAGGTCGTTATATGCTGTTTAGATGGTCGAATCAATGTGTTTTATTTCCGAATAGGGAGCCGCGGTGGCTCAGTGAGTTAGACCTGAAGGTCCAGGGTTCAATACCGTCATAGGTCGAGATGATACCTTCGGATTTTTCAACCCGGTTTCCCCCTGTCAGTGATGCAGGTACGAGGGGCTGACATGGAAAAAGCGTCTAGTTGTTCGGATGGGACAATAAACCGAGGCCCGTGTGCTACAGGATGTGCACGTTAAAGATCCCTCGACAGTTAGAATTCGAAAAAGAGCAGGTTAATGCCGCTGTCCTGGCAAAATTTTTCTCATTGCACCCTGCATGGCGCTGCCCGTCTTCATTAGCCCACATGATGCAGAAAAGTAGGACGTAAAACTCCATTCATTTCATTTAATTTTATTTCCGAGTAATGAAAATGTAATTTGTGCATGAGAATGAGATGATGTAATGAGGCCTGGAATATTACCTTTTTGTCTTCGTAAATCGAGTCTTCCTAGGTTGCAAATGGTTTACCGTAAAGGTTCTGCTAGCGCTTTGCAACAGATGGATGGTATGCATTATTTACCGGAACTATGTCAATATTGTCACGTTATCACGTGATTCTGGTTATTTAGATTATCAGAGGCTGGTCGTTCAGGACTACGAGCTATTGTAAAAATTATAAAAACAAATCCTTCGTACGATATGGATCCAAAATGATTATGAAATGTTAAACCGATATTAGAATGTTTAATTTTGCAGAGACAGATTCTGCTTTACAGAAACTGCTGAATTATATTATTACGGAATTATAGGTTGCTGAATCTAACTGATTGTAAATCCACTTTCGTAGTGTGCCAGACAGCATGAATTAAAACTAAAGCTTCCCTGTGCATTTATATTTCAGTTATTTTGGTCATTGCCTCAGATACGTTCAAATTCGACAAGGCGATAAATTTAACAATAACGGATAACAAAATCAAATATAAACTGAAATTACTTGTGGGGGTTGTCATGCATGGTTATATCCATTCGGCAACCCTCGACAGTTTCCGTAAAGCTTAATTTAACTCGGATATGGATGTAACGAATCACTGTCACTTCATCGGAATATTGCCATTGTTTTAGAACCATTGAGTGATAATTCTGCCACTTACTTATTAACTCAATACACTTATAGGGTAATATAGGAATATAAATTTCCATTTGGGTTAAATAATAAATGCATTTTATTATAGGCCAACGCACGCATTCTAATATGGAAATATAGGACTAATGTCGCCGACCTTGTCCGTCCGCCCATCGGCCCGTCCGTCCACATTTGCCTTATAAACGCGTCGGGGGCCACAGGTTTTATCCGATTTTATGAAATTTTGTTTGTAGGCTTATATCGAATTTCGAATTATGGGTATGATTCGACAAATATTGACGGATTTTCAACCCTTGATATACACTAAAAATACGTAAAAAGTCTTATCATGTCCACAATCAAATTTGACGCGATTTAAGTCTATATGGTGTCTTCAAGAAATGTGGTCGAAGCAATGGATGGACAGGTGTGGCGCCATTACACATTTGCACAATGGAGTGTATAAGAAACAAAGAAATGTAATAGTTGGAAAAATAAGGTTAATTCAAAAGTATTTTACAAATATTACAAGGTTCGAAATTGGAACACGGTTTTCTGAAATGAAAAAAAAAATAGCAATGATTATCAGGTGGATATAGATCGTGAATTAATCAATGCCCTATTATCATTCCCATGGGGCCATGTTCACTTTATCAAAATAGTCGCAAGAGGCGGTTAATGCAAACCAGTCAATACGATCACTTTCTTACGAGAGGGGTTGCCTGTATATTCACTAGTATAGTGTATGTGCTCATAATTACATAACAAAGCGTAAGTAGAAGAGTTGTCATAGGTCGGTTTGAAAATCACGTGGTTTACATACTAAATTGAATAACAATAGAAATATGTGATAACTGATAAGTAATGACATTATGAAACGTTATTTATGTGGTTAAGAGCATTGTTTTCTATTTTGGCAATATATATACAAGATCAAAAGCACAGAAACCACAGTACGTACCTTATTTGCCCATCATACCGTATCCGCCCATTCCACCTAGCATACCGCCCATCATACCGTATCCGCCCATTCCACCGAGCATACCGAGTCCACCATAACCCATCATCATTGGGTTGTACATACCACCCATCATACCCATACCTCCCATACCTCCCATCATACCAAGTCCTCCCATACCTCCCATCATACCAAGTCCTCCCATGCCCATCATGTAGGGGTCCATCATACCCATACCTCCCATCATACCCATACCACCCATCATACCCATACCGCCCATCATTGGATTAAAAGCCAGAGTGGTGGCGGCGAAGGTCAAACATAAGGCGATGGTAAAGAGGGTGTTCATCTTGAATTCTGAAAATGAAAAAGAATAAAATCATTATCTACAATTTGAACCAAATACATGATATAAAGTATGACTGCCCGATAACACGTTTGAACTACAAATAAATCTGCATTGACACAACTAGAATCAGTTTGCGCAGCCAAATACCAAAATGTTTTCATTAAAATTATTATATCAACAGCCAAATACCAAAATGTATTCATTAAAATTATTATATCAACTTACTAGTGTCGGCTGGTTGTGATGTTGATAGTTTGAAGAACAGAAGATTTGTGATATTTTTACCTTCAATACTGACTGTATTTATACACTAGTTTATAATATATATTATTACAACATCCAATTGAATTGAATAACCTGATTAAAACCATCACTCATTTTTCTCTCAACAATTATTTATTATTCAATTTACTAATTATTTTAAATCTATTTCTAAGTAGGGTCACCTTCGGCTGTAAGGAACCAGGATGTAGTTCACATATCAGATACTATACGTCGGTCAATGGCCTTGGGGGAAGATATCAATTTTCAAACGAAAACAAAACGTAGGGGAATTTATAGACCATAAAATTTAGAAAGTTTGTGCCACAACGTCGAGAAATCTTTTCGATTTTTAAGGGAGTGGGGAAAGAATACAAGTAATAACAAATTTGAATAACTGTCTTCAACGGACTGGTTCGTCGTTCGTTTGACCATTTGTACTTTAGTCTCAGAAACGGAAATTTTCAGCTAAGCTAGACATTAATAGTGTTCACAACTCACACTCAAAAACCAGGATCAATTTGGAGCGAGAAGTTAAGAGATTTAGACAGGTCTGGGATGGTAGAAAACTCAGACCTTCCAAACTTGGAACAATAACATTTATAATTAAACAAAGTAACTCACGCAATCTCTAACAATAAGTGGAAATTTCAGTTGTAATTGATTTGGCTGCTTTCGATAATCATATCCTGGTCAACTCCTTTACAAAGTTCCCAAGAGACTACTCTTCAACTTTCAAAGCACTTCCTAGCTGAGTTCGTCTGGAAATCGAGGGGAAGTAATTACACATGAGAAAAAAAGTAGAACTCTATTTTAAATAGAATATGTTCCATGATTCTGTTAGGTGGCATATTGAACCGGAAACAAGAAGAAGGCTGCCAGTCACGCTAGTTTATTTTGACTGATATTTTTTGTTTCAATTAATTTCAGGATCTCTAAAGAAAATATTCTCAACAGGGACCGTCGTACTTGAGAAAAACGAATTATCGGTGTGTTCATACAGCGAGTCGATATATTTAAATTACAAAGTACATTGGAGTTTAAAGTCTACCTTTTGTGTACCAGAGTACCGCTGAAACGCGGTTATAAATGGTGCAGACTGCCATTAAGTTACACTTTCGGTCAGTATTGTGGTTCGATGTACAGGCCGATATCAGATATTTGCTGGTAGTCGCTCACTCAGAAACAATCTTCTGACAACAGAAGGCTTAAAACCTTGTCGGATGTAGTATTTATTTACAGAATTATCCCCAAAGTTGCATGTATGCTGAGTGCTGACACTGAGCTCTAAAATAGTTTTTAACTCATCAGTCGTGTAATGTTTACTTCGTCCAAGCGCATGACATCACCATACTTGCGTTTTCTTTCAAAGGGTTCTCAGCTATATTATTTCCTAAACTTTTAATTCTGAGTTAAAAGAATGGAAGAGGGTTGCCTCCCTTTAAATTAGTCTAGAAGAGATGATATGCAATCTTTCTCATATATTTTGTTTTGTTTCAGAAGGTGTTCCAACTTAAACTACGCTGAAACTTGTGCCTGCATTTTAATATGACGTAATTTCTTAGTGGACACTTACTAACAGACTGACTTCGTCGTTGAACCAGTAACCAGAGGTGACGTCATAAAGCACTTAATTTTAGTGGAATTTCAGTGGAACCACAGGTGTCCGATTAAAAAATTAAGAAAACCTCTTTACAATCCCTTTCAAGATGGTCTTCCATGTTTTTTATTGTCAAATTAAGCAAACATTTTGATTAATTGGTTTAAATCAATCATAAATGTCCATGTATGTACAGTCTGGATAAACCAAAAAAGATTTTTGACCTTTCTTGATCGGTCACTCATTGGAATTCTGCTGGTAATTCTCTTCTAATTTAGCTAATTATGAATTAATTATGGACAAACTGATATTTTCCTTAGAACACCTCTACTTTCTATAAGTATCAGCATTTTCAGTTTCATAAATAAAAATAAAGGAACCCATCTTTAAAGTTTACCTTCAGAATTATGCTTTTTTAAAATAGATGCAATCCTTTTGTTCCCAGCTTCTGTTTTTGTTTTTTTTAGAAAAAACGCTCAAAGCAAAACAGTGAGTTTGTTACCTAAGAGAGTTGGTTTTTGGTTGAGGGTGCCATTGACGAACTGAAAGAGGAGCTGTGAATGACCTCCTAGCTGTCTTTTACTGAAACAACTTAAAGTCTTCAAGGCTGAATAAGCAAAACGAAAACACTTCAATTAAAAATTACAAGCAGTTTGTCGGAAATCTTGAAAAAATACACGAATTCAAGGGTGCATGTCTGCGTTCAAACGCACAAAAAACAGGGTAAAAGAGCAATTGACATTTAATTTCAATCTTCTTGATTAAACTTGAGAAATCTTACTTGTTGGTATTAATCAATAGTCCACAATAGAAAGTTATTGTTTTATATTTGCTTTACCAGATGAAAATGTGTTTAAAGTTTAATACTTGATAAATGGAGACAAAACTCAATAAGTAAACAATGAGATCAAACAATATTTATCTTGATTATTTTCCTTTCATCGATTGTGATAATAATAACATCTGACAATAGTTCTGGAAGTGTCCAGATACAAGAAAGATGTCTTGTTGTGTAAATCTATGACCTTTTGGAAATTTAAGTCAACGATTTATCAGAGTATTTTTGTAATTATCTTTCTTGAATATGCACAGTTTATAGTATACACTATATATATGTATGTCGCCTGTGATGGATTATGCGATTTTCTTAAGTCTTCCCCTGTGACCTACATCGCTAACAGCAAAAAAGGTTCACAAGTCTTTCATCTGAACTTTACCGAACTCTTAGTGTAGATTGAACGAAGAGTTAAATATGACGCAACAATTATTGCCAAAGGTAAAAGGTAAAATCTGAATTGAAGTCAACGTGTATTCAATGTGAAATTTTTGGGTACACCAAGGGTCATAACTCATGATAAAATTTTACGATTTTCCTGATTTCAATAGAGCTCTGTTCAGTTTCTGTCTCTTCATGGTTTGAATAGTGCCAGTGTTTATGATAATATTCATAATGTTAACACCTACATATCAATAGAGCCCATATCTTCAACATTTTCATTTACTTTTTAGTAGACGTCGATATACCTTTAAATTTGTCTTAAATAAAGCATGATATGGCCAACTGATTATTCTAAAATAAAAATCGATAGACATTGACAAATAATTGTGAAGATAACAGACAGTTGAGAGTCCAGTGTCACTTCAAAGTTCTTAGCAGTTGAATTAATTTGCGAGGATTTTTTTTGCCTTGTGTCATTTAAATGATAATTTGGTCTTGTTTTTTTTTATATTTTCGTCTCATTAATTCAAAGTAGCCCAAACCTCATCTTCACAATGCCAAGCTATTACGAACTGCGCGTAGAACCTTGACTTTCTTGTATCACAGAAGTAAATGCAGCGAATTGATTGGATTGTACGCTAACGAATATAGCCTTCCGTGATAATGAAATGAGGTAATTGCAGTCAAGGTATAAGACGCCGTATGTAACTTGTAAAGATGCGCCAACCTGTGTGTTCACGTACTCAACCGTTCCCATCGAATAACATACAATTTTTTTGCGCCTTTGCTTTTATTTTTTGGTTAAATCCGTGATACGACTCCGTAAAATGTCCCCGCTCAATTTTCAACCACGCCATGTCACTGTACAACTTTGATGACACCAACATGAAAATAAAAACTCAAAAGCGATTATGTGTGTTTTCAGTGCTATTTTAGTTCTAATGAATGAAATGAATTGCCTCTTTGAGTTCATTCTTAATATGTTTAAACACCTGGGATCTACCTTTTAGATGGGTTAATTGATGCCCCTTTAGGCACTTTCAGTTGTTCAGTTGTCATATAAATGCATGTAAATTGGCGAAGAATCGCTGTTTTAAGTGGAGCCTAGCCACAGGAAGATAGTCAACTGTATCTTGATAGCAGTAAATTGGTCAAACAGATAAGTTACACGGAAAGATCCCAACATGGTAAATTGATTACAAAAATCATGATCGCATCGCGAGATAAACTAGACGCAATAAAAAGGAAACACCAAGGTAAACTGGTCACAAGAATATGGTCACACCACAAGGTAAACTGGTCACAATAATATGGTCACACCACAAGGTAAACTGGTCACAAGAATATAGTCACACCACAAGGTAAACTGATCGCAATAATATGGTCACACCACAAGGTAAACTGGTCACAAGAATATGGTCACACCACAAGGTAAACTGGTCACAATAATATGGTCACACCACAAGGTAAACTGGTCACAAGAATATGGTCACACCACAAGGTAAACTGATCGCAATAATATGGTCACACCACAAGGTAAGCTGGTCACAAGAATATGGTCACACCACAAGGTAAACTAGTCGCAATAATATGGTCATACCACAAGGTAAACTAGTCACAATAATATGGTCACACCACAAGGTAAACTGGTCGCAATAATATGGTCATACCACAAGGTAAACTGGTCACAATAATATGGTCACACCACAAGGTAAACTGGTCGCAATAAAAAAATCACACCACAAGGTAAACTGGGCGCAATAATATGGTCACACCACAAGGTAAACTGGTCGCAATAATATGGTCACACCACAAGGTAAACTGGTCACAATAATATGGTCACACCCAAGGTAAACTGGTCGCAATAATATGGTCACACCACAAGGTAAACTGGTCGCAATAAAAAAAATCACACCACAT